ATCGATCCTCTCGAGGTGAGTTTGGCCTCGGGAAGAAAGATAGTGACTTCAGCTAAAGCTTCAGATCTTAGCCTTTCCATCGGTGGCCGAGTTTTGCCTACCGACGCGTTTCTTCTCGAGATGAGGGACTTCGACCTTATTCTCAGAATGGATTGGCTATCCTTTTATCATGCGGATATCAAATGTCACGATCGGGAGATTACTCTTTATCTTCCGAGAGACGAGACGATTACTTTCTTCAGCTCCAGAAACCGTTCTTTGCCTCATGTTGTTTCAATGGCGAAAGCCACTAAATTGCTGAGACGAGGCAACTACCAGGGTTATCTGGTGAGCCTTGTTGACGAGCCTCAGAAAGCGCGTTCACCTCACGATGTTCCCGTCGTTCGAGAGTTTGTGGACGTATTCCCAGACGAGCTTCCGAGAGGACCGCCTAATCGGCAGGTGGAGTTCTCTATAGACCTTATTCCAGGGGCCGGTCCAGTATCCATAGCCCCGTACCGTATGGCGCCTAAGGAGTTGCAGGAGCTTAAGGCGCAGATTCAGGAGCTATTACGACTCGGTTTCATCCGACCGAGTGTGTCACCTTGGGGAGCACCCGTTTTCTTTGTTAAAAAGAAGGACGGATCCATGCGCATGTGTATCGACTACCGGGATCTTAACCGGTTGACGATCAAGAACAAGTACCCGCTTCCCAGGATCGATGACTTATTTGATCAGCTCAGGGGAGCCTGTGTGTTCTCAAAGATTGATTTGCGATCAGGCTACCACCAGCTGAAGATTAAGGAGTCAGATATCGCTAAGACCGCTTTCAGGACTCGTTACGGCCATTACGAGTTCGTCGTCATGCCATTCGGTCTCAGCAACGCGCCAGCAGTTTTCATGGACCTCATGAACCGTATCTTTCATTCCTACCTCGATCAGTTTGTTATTGTCTTTATTGACGATATTCTTGTCTACTCGAAGAGCCAGAAGGAGCACGAGGAGCATCTGAGGGTGGTTCTTGAAACCCTCAGACGAGAAAAGTTGTTTGCAAAATTCTCCAAATGCGAGTTCTGGCTCCAACGAGTATCCTTTCTGGGTCATGTGATTACTCAGGCAGGTATCGAGGTGGATCCTTCCAAGGTTTCTGCTGTTCAGAATTGGTCAGCACCGAGGAGTCCGTCTGAGGTTCGCAGTTTTCTCGGTGTAGCTGGATACTATCGCAGGTTCATCGAGGGCTTTTCCAAGATCGCCCTCCCTCTATCCCAGCTGACTAGGAAGTCTGTGAAGTTCGAGTGGACTGACCGATGTGAGTCGAGCTTTCAGGAGCTCAAGAGGAGATTAACTTCAGCACCGGTGTTGACTATTCCCGATCCTTCTCGGAGTTTCACTATCTTCAGTGATGCTTCGAGACAGGGCTTGGGATGTGTCCTTATGCAGGACGGCCAGGTCGTTGCGTATGCTTCCCGTCAGCTTAAGCCGCATGAGCAGAATTATCCGACGCACGACTTGGAGTTAGCAGCAGTCGTTCATGCTCTCAAGATTTGGCGACACTACCTTTACGGCGGTCATTGTGAGATATTCACAGATCATAAGATCCTGCAGTATATCTTTACTCAGAAGGAGCTCAACATGAGACAGCGCTGTTGGTTAGAGCTCGTCAAGGACTACGACTGCTCTATGCAGTACCATCCGGGAAAGGCGAACGTCGTTGCAGATGCCCTAAGCCGTCAGGTGAGGGGTGATTTGACGTACGTCATTACTCAGCAGAGTCCTTTGATTCAGGAGTTTGCCCGGATGCAGCTTCAGGCGATTGATGCACTTCCCATGGCAGTTTCGGGGAGTACCAGTGCCAGTGTTAGTGCTATGCAGCTTCAGCCGACGCTGAGAGAGAGAATCCGGCGAGAACAGGCTTCTGATGAGTTCGTTCGTGTCATGGAGGCCAAAGTTCGCGCCGGAGGCGTCGAGGGTTTTCAGCTAGGTGCCGATAGTGCCCTAGAGTTCAGAGGCAGGATTGTGGTCCCGAAAGTTGAGGTGTTGCGGAAG